ATAATGAGACAATGTGAGACATATGGCAAGGTACTAGACATTCCTGTGCGGGACTATTCCAGGAAAAGGGAGAAGGGCACTTTTGTGTACTGTGAGAAAGCGAGACTTACGTCTCCATCTCGTGGCAAGGAGGACAACTTTACAATTCTCTAAAACTTCTAAGTCCATGTTGTATCAGAATGTTGTCGCTACGTTGTCGATGTCGAGAGTGTCAACATTCTCTCAATGTTGATAGCTAATGTTGCAATGACATTCGTAGAAGTGTCGCAGCAACATTCCAAGTGAAAACATTGAAGCAATGTTTTCTCAATGTTGTACAGCAACTTGCAACATAGAGCAACATAGGCAACATTACGAAAACGTTTCATCAATATACTGTGTTACTTGGGTTGAAGCAATGTTTTCTCAATGTTGTACAGCAACTTGCAACATAGAGCAACATAGGCAACATTTCGAAAACGTTTCATCAATGTACTGTGTTACTTGGGATGATACCAAAACAGAAATAGGGGGACTCGATATTTAAATGAACTCGGGGGAGAGGTATTTCCGCTCGCATTGTGATCTTCAGGAATCAGGTGGAAGCCCGGTTGGCTGGTAACCCGTCAGGGGGCTCTGAGTGCTGCCCTCTCACCAGAAACAAGCAATGCTGGCCATCATGGTCCTTCATTTATATACTAGCGATATAGTATGAGCGAGCAAGTATGAGTGAGCGAGTAAATAGATCGGCTAACGCAAAAAACTCGCTCCTTCGCCGCTTCGATGAAGTGAATAAATCGAATTGATTTATAGATAAGGCATTTGAAACGTTCGTCTTTGACGCTCCCTCCTTCCGAAGTTGCAACACTCCTTGGACTTCTGACATTTTTATTGTGACATCTTATTGCCTCTGGTTATGTAATGTCACTGCCAACTTCAAGATAGTAACATCAAATAAATATACAGGTATGGCTTCTCTCAAAGTATCCCGGAGTAATTAAAAAAAAACTTATCTTCCAGTTTTAACGAACTTCCGAAGGTTCTCAATTTTACGTCACGTGGCTTCCAGCATGAGGAGCAATCGGTGACAATTTTCGGTAAGACCCATCGTAAGTCAATACTTGCAATACTTAGAATCTAAGATGATTCTCATCAGTCACAATAACAGTGAGTCTCTGCGTTCGGCAAGGATAAACTGGAGGAGGCAAAAGGAGAGGGACGCCGGGATAGACCAAGATTAGCCACTCAAATTTTCGCGCGCGTTAGCTACGGCAGCGAAATGTGAGAAAATTCTAGGCGCAATCCGGCAATCCGTTGTCCGTAAGAGCTCGGGCGTTATTCTCTCGCATGCAGCGCTGCCAATATCTTATTTAAAGTATTTCGTTCAAATTTTAGAGGCTTGCAAGTAAATACGAACTAACGGCGCTAGAGTAGGTTCAGAGACGAACTAGGAAAGAGATGAAAGAGGTATGAGGACTTTCATGTGGGAGACATTCAGAAGCGACATTTAGACCATTCAACTTTTCAATTTTCTCTTATTGGATGTCGTTGTTCTAAAGCACTGTCACGATCAAAACATCACAATAGCAACCTATTGAAGCAATTCTTGAGAGTGGTCGTGGTGCTGCTCTGCTAATTTCTTCGGTAATCCCGAGGACCAAGCTTCCATATGTCTCTATGCTGATTTTCGGGGGGCAGAGAAACATAATAGAGGAGATAGGTGCTCCTGTCGCCTAGATCGACTTCAATTGATTGCACGATAGTACTTACGACTTTTCATCCTTCAGCCACTTTTTGCAGGAAGGAGAAGCATTAACAAGCCAGAACGGTAGGGTACATCCATTTTATTTGGACACACCAGAATCACTGTTACTAGTAAACAATGAGCAAGATAGGAGAAAACAATGATTTCACATTATCGCTTATATTTGGATCCCATGTTAAATGACAAGTCGGGCAGAACAGGTCCACACAGGTTAACACATGCATAATTCTTTCACGTTGTGCCCTACTTTGTCTCAATTATGACCTCATCAGGAAATTGTACAACATGCTCAAAAACAAGTTGGAGGGTAAAGGAAAGCTGTCTCCTTGGAAAAGGAGGACCTTGTTTCAACATGAAGGAACTGATAGGCACTTGTGAGGCAGGAGACCATTCACATTATCGCTTTTGTCTCTCGACCCTTCTCTCCATGCACAAACTTTCGTTAGCATATGGTGGGCTGGTGGTCATTGGGGAGGTGTGAAGAACACCTTCTGCCTGAGGGTGGAGGTGTAGGAGGGCATTTGTCTGAACCCCTCAGAGGTCTGGAAATGCCTTGCCACTCGGGCTCCCGTGAGGGTCAGCATCCCCACGAGGTCCTCCATCTGAGAGTGTTCTACCAAGACATCACAAAGAGTCTGGATGAACCACGTCCCAGAGATCACATCGCGATGAGACACGTGACCTATTCAAACGGAGCAATTGTGAATGGGGGATCTGCCTCTCCAATGCTGAAAAACAATCATACGACATGTGTGAGAAGAAAAGCAAGAAATTATACCTGGAACGGATGCTTTTGATATGAGGAAGTCCGCATGACTAGGAATCGTGTATTCATCCCCTACTATATCTGTGGAAGTAGTTGTAGGGAGCCCTTTTGACTTCTTTGATGGTGCCACGGCCGCTTCCATTTTCTTACTCCCTTCGCAAGCCTATCACAAGGCAGGGAGATATCATCCTCTTAATCCACCCGTGTCATCATCAAATAAATATGGAATTTAGCAGAATACACTGAAAAAAAAGTAACTAGCAGATTTTCACTTCAATTAGCTCTTTTTAAAGTCTATTACTAATTACTTCAGGGAGATAATAACGAACTATTGACTCATAAGGGACGAATTGTACAGCTTTCTCATTCAAATTTCAAATAATTATTTTTATTACCGGCAAATCAACTAATTTAATAATGTTATGCTTAACATTCGCAATTTGTAATGCTAACAGAATGGAGAGCGTTGAATCACAGAAAATTGTATTTTCAGAGAGAGGAGAGCATCCTCAATCGGACATATTATACTGTATGATAATTTTCTTCAAATAGAATGTAAATTCTGCTATCTCCGCTCTCGGAAAGGTCTCGAAAGTGAATCATTCTTGTTGTGATCTTGCTGGTAAATATATTCGATGAGGGAGTTGCTCAAATAAACTATTCACAATAACTGATTACTTGTAATCCATATACTTTCCTATACTGGAGGGAATGAAGAGATGACCTGGACGAAGAAGAGTTTGGGTTTGCCCCACAAAGAGGGACATCTGCCAGGGATGAAACATTCCCAGAGATCTTGCAATTGAAGGGCTCTGTCAAAAGCTTCTAGAGTCCCGTTTTCGGCCCCATGGCTCATGTACACCACCACCAAACAGTCGTCGTCCGCAAGATCCTGTTCACTCGCAACTGCAACAGGAAAACCATCATTCAGAGCGTGTTTAACACTTTTAGGGGCACTTTTTAAAACTGTTTTCTCTGGACCAAGAGGGCCACTCAACCACCCAGTGGAAGTCATTTAAAATCATTCAATAAAGTCGGCGATTTGAGAATTAGGAGTGTTGAAGTCGGCAAGGTGCAATTCGGGGTGTTGAGCATTCGAGTTGAACAATCGTCATTCGACGAATTGAACATTCAGCGAGTCCTCACTCGGTGAGATGATTGGGAACCCTGAATAAAATAGATGAAATCCTAAGAATATAACAAAGATTTGACTCCCTTTTACGGATCGGTTTTAGGAATTCAAACGCGTCCAATGTACGAAAGACGTCCATTTATACTCAGTGTTTGAGTGCGTAAATGCGTGTGAAAATAAGTATTTGAGGAATAGGCGTATTTGTTACTCAAATACGCCTTTTTTTAAAAACTATTCCTAGCTTCGAAATTTTGAAACATACAGTAAATCCAGCATCTATCCATTACTTCATGAACCATTCAAGCGACCGAAAAACTTTTCCCACTTCCGCTGATATCAAAGACCAATAGGAAAAAGTAGCTACTTTTATAAATAGTATGATTAGGCGTTCGATGTGACAAAGTCTCGCTCTTGCAGTTTTGGGATAATCAAGTGACACTACCAGTGCATTCTGAATGCATTTTGAGTGGGGGCCACTCAAAATGCATTCAGACTTAGACTTCATTCAATCGAGGATCCCCACAATTGAATCGAATTCGACTCGTTCCATTTCTTCCATTTCATTCTTAACAGAGTCTTTGCTGGCAGGAAAAGTGACATTGTAAAGAGGAATTGTCATTAGAGACTCAGACTCAGATGCCAACTATGGCTCAAAACTTTTGGAACAGAATATGTGAAATACCAAAATGATGCATGCTTATATTGCTAGGCCTATGCCTACGTTATCAGCAGGGAAGTCTCACCCTCCTCTAGGATCGTGTCGACCTGATTGCGCGTTTTGTCCTCGTAGATGATGGGCGTGAGGTGAAGACTTGTCAGCACATCTCGCAGACGAGCCACATCATGTTCTGAACCCTGTCGTTCGGAGATGTTACGATGTCCGGCAAAATTCCTCATATTGAAGACCAATGCCTTCCCTCTCCGAACTCGCAAAACGCCATCGTCTGTTCTACAATGGAAGAGGCCAGGAACCAACTACAGTTATTTGGCGAATACAATTGGCGAAAATGGTGTCTCATCCATCTAACTGCACAAAATAACAATCTGTTTAGATTGCGACAATAGCCTTTACTGCGAATGAGGATTGTTCGAAAAAACCTTGAGCCATTATTTGTGACAATAGCAATAGACAATAGCAATATTAAGTAAAAATAGAAATTTGTGACGATAGCAATAGACAATAGCAATATTTTCGGAATTGCAGCTTACAGGCTGGGTGGTTTCGAAGCGAGTCTCATGAAACAGCCCAGTAATGAAAACGTACTTTTGAGCAACTTCAAAGATAGAAACCTTTCTGAGATGAAAGGCTTGAAGCCGACTCGATGAGCTTCCGACTTGGAAGTCTGGAAGGTACTCGATCAATCGTACCGAGCCAGGTTCTCCTGCGTCCGTTGCCCACCTCCTTCCATGGGGGCATTCCTAGTATTGCGGTTATGCGAGTATTTGACATCCTACTTGCCACATCTACGAGATTCAGGTGCAGTGCACCTTAAAAGTCATTCGTTAGCCAATCTTGGAGCCACGTAATCGAGTTGCCTGGCACTCCAACTCCCTGTGTACTCTACCTTAATATTGTCTATTGTCCTGCATACTTTTTTTTCCAGAGTTCTTGCCCGTGATGACTGCTGATACAATGGCCATTACATTTGCATTAAAAGATTACTGAGAAATACATTTAAAAGACTCTTTCCGGAAGTGCCACTCAGAATACCTGTGTGATTTAAAGAATGAAGTAAAATATTTATATAAATCTCATTCCTACGGCACATCGCGTTCTCATCCGCTTCGAATTTCGTGACAGCGAAATCACAATATGAAGAAAACTACTGTCGAGATGGGCAGCCCTGCCCTAAGCGTGTCTGACTTAAGTTGAAGAAAGTCACATATTAGTATGAGAACACCTGCTCTCCGTCCTCTTAAGAGAGAAATGGTTTGTCGACAAAAGAAGCGGCGAAGCCCTCACTGCGTGAGGGCTTCGCCAAATGCAAAAAAAAAACACAAATCAGGTCGTGACGAATACTGTTTCCTCGCTTCCCATTTAATTTTATAGGCTCACCAGAGACAGATCATTGGCATGCAGAATATTTTAAGCCTCCAATTCACAGATTTTATAGTTAGCGAATATATAGAGAATGACATGAATTCATTTCCCAAAATAGCATGGGTTTATAATGAGGCAAACTAGAACCACTAGAGAAGATAGTTAATGAGTTGCTGCGTGACATGCAAACAGTATGTCATGGAGAAGCTCATAAGCATTTGTAGTTAGAGCAGCTCATTAGAACTGATCGATGAACGGTAGATAACTGGGGTTGGAGACATAGGGAAGGTAGAGAAGTAAGTCGTATTCCTACAAGCCTACCTTGATAATCCGCTGGATACACTGGGAAGTGGAGGAAATGGATGACTAGAGAAGGGACGGGCATCTCGTTGAATACCAGAGGTCACCTCTTGGCTCTGCTGGACCCCGATAGGAGAGCTAGGGGGAATCGAGGGGATGAGGCAGTGATAATTTTAATTTTTAATATTTTAACTTTTATATCTTGGAGTGTCGGTATTACAATATGGAGTTCGTGGAGAAATGTAGGAAAATGGACCATTTCCGTATTTTTTTATTATGATAGAAATAGCTGGCATAACTGGCATATCAACAAACGCGAGATGGCACATAGCCGCTCATTCCGTGATTCTCACCCTAATACTGTTGGAACGAGTCCCCGTTATTTTTCATATAGTATTCGATCGTTTCCCAGGAACAACCTAAGGAAAGGCTTTGGAATTCCTGAATGGACTCGTATGAGAAGGGAACTCGGCAAAAAGAGACTACAGGTACTTCTGGCCTGGCGATTTAAGGCAACATACCGAAAGTTTCCACTTTATTCCATCGCGTTCCGAATTTTTTTCACACTTTCATTCTGAGAAAGGAACTTTTTTTGGGTAGGCAGGAGTTTTCTTTCAAGCCCTTCAAGAAAACTAGGTGAGGCGAAACTGAAATCATGGATACTATGTACGCTACTGGAATGAGACCCCATTACACTTCAGACAGAACCAAATCCCACGCATAACTCAGGGCAAGAAGTCGGAGTTCCTGAGCACATAAGTCGAAAGGGGTAACTCAATCTATGCGATTCTGACTCGGAGGAAAGTTGAACTGAGTACCTCATTACATGAAGGAATGGAAAAGTACCGCTGAAGACAACACGATGAGCTTAGGTTCAATGTTACAATTCTGCTAGTACCCCATGGAAATGAGTACATCCGTGGGAGGTCCTATGGACATCTCTTGCAGGACCTTCGTAGGAGGTGCACTCAAAATGAATATCGAGGACGTCGGGTGGTCCTGTCCCGGGGATGGTCTGGGGAAGTATCCCTTCCCAAGTGACACATGTACGAATGAAAATTTCCATCGAGTTTTTCCTTCTTACAGTACCTTTCATAATACAACTGTGGGAACCGTCTTGCAGAAACGAAAAAAACTCACCCCCCCCCCCCAAAGGCCCTTAAATTCCGTACCCTTGCGAAAAAGTCCCACAGAAATCGAATAGGTTCTTGAAACCTGAAAATGTACTCGTAAGGGCACTCGAAATAAAATATTTTTCCTGAATTCAGAACCCCATTAGCTATTTGTGTACCACGTCTTAGCTTTGTATATCTGGGACATGGTTAGAATTAGCGTCAATCTGTCCGTCACACATTCACTCAGTCACTCAGATATCAGATGATGGATAAAATATTAATATCAAAATTGACAGGTAGTATGACAGGTGTCACCCGAGTATCACATATGTTTGCACTAGTACGCTCATTTGACGCCATCGATCACGTAATAACATCCGCATGAATGTCCGTGTAGCATTGGGGACTGAGTGACGCATTCAATGCTGAATGGACAAATGTGAGTCACTTCAAATGGATATCGACACCGACTAATTCATTCATTGATCTTTTCATTTCGTCATGAATGGGGTGGTTTTAGCCGCCTCGATGGGAACTCCTATGACCATAAAATTCGTCCCACCCGAGGATGCAGTTTTTAAATGAGGTTTTGAAATGAGGATTTAAATGCATGCGATCCTTTTTTTTTCTAATGCAGAAAATTTCTGTACCTTGTAGCTGTTGGTGGCGCCTGGGCTGGGTGAGATCCCGGAAAAATACAACCTGAAATGGGAGAGAAGATAAAAGAATTACTGATTTGCGATGCGTCGCCACACAACTCGGCAAAGCCGTGTGATTTTCAGGAGGAAAAGTATTTGAGAACCAGAATACCTTGTAAGTATTTAGCAGCGTCTGTGTGAATCTCTTCGAGTGCTTTGAAGAAGAGAGGCTGGTATTTTAAAGGATTTTTGGCGTACAATATCGCAAAGATTTCATCGTAGCGTTCATTCGGTTCCCCTTTTTTTCTGATGGTCTTCTCTTCTATGGCTGTGAAGACGCTCCTGGAGATCAATTTATCGAATAAGTTATCGCCATCCACCCCAAATTCATCTCTTAATTTCGACTTATTTTGTCTTATCGTATTCCAATTCTTCAATTGTTCGCTCATGTTGAAAGTCGTGTTTGCATAGGGTGAATCTCGGACTTCCACGAACTCTTTTCAAACTTCCAATAGGCAAATACAGATGAAGCCGTCTCTTGATTACCTGAAAAGATTGCGTTGCATGTCATGTTAAGGATCTATTCTCCTCATAATTCAATATGAATTCAATGAAATGCGTATATAGAAAGACTACATTAAAAAGGGAATAATTTCAACATCTTAGACCTCTACGTGAAACGGGAGCCGGGATAGGGATTTTTAAAATTTTTTCCCTGAGCAAAAAAAGAGTTTTCTGCTCACGGTAGAGCGAATTCAATTGCTTCAATCTAAGAAATCTAATTAATAACTCAAATTAAAGCGGAAAGAAAGGAAATATCTAATTATGTTATTATGGTTAATATTAATATTTATACTTGCCCTAAAAAAATTTGTTAAAGAATGAAACACAAACATTTCAACCCCATGATTCCCCTCTGGGAATTGTGACATCAAAGTCAAATATGGGGTTAAATTAGCTCTTGCACTCATCAAGTAGCGTTCAAAGTGAATTTTAGGCGTTATAGTTTTGATATAAATTATATTCGGTTCAAATTTGAAAATCATTCTTTCTTACGACCGTTGACCTTGTTTTTCACCATGTGGCTAGGATAATAGAGAGCCGATCGACCACATGTCTGGAAAATATTTGACATTTTGGACGAAACCTCCAAAGTAGTCACTCGAGCGCAACCAATTTTCCAATAGGCGTGTGTGAGCAAAGTACCGCACCGATATGTTGCTTGTCCATCATAGCTGCCATGGCCGGTCGTCTTTCATCAATATGCATATTGTGTCCTGTGTGACTGTTTCTGAGACTTAAGTCTAACGTGTGGCGTGTTTTCCGGGTATATGGTACTTTTAAAGAACATTCTAATGATATACAGTGAGGAAAAAAATTATTGCATTACCCAGTTATTATTAGCATTTTTCTCTGTATCTCATTTTTTAGGAAATTTTTAATTTAGATTTTGAAATCTTTTTTATTGTGGATTTGCTAGCGTAAATGTTTAATTGGATATATTTAATACCACGTAATGGTGACCTGATTTATGTGTCATGCTTAGCATTTTTTCACAGCGCCTATGAAAAATGCTGGCGACACACAGCGTGACTGAATGAATCCTCATCGTAAATCTTCGTCCCTCACCATCTTACCTTGTAGATGCTTCACGGTGGACGTGAAATGGTTCAGAGAGAATTCTTCCTCCTGACAGCCGCCTCAGGAACTGCTACTCGTCTAACTGGTGTAAAGTAAACTAGGGGATTTGGATGCGAGATGATGGCAGCTCCCGTGCTTAGTGGCCTATTTGGTCTTCTTGGTCTCTTGGTGCTGCCAAAACAGCTCAGCAACAGTAGATCAGTGTGTAACCCATTCTAATGGCCATATCTTTGCGGCTCAATCCTTCTGAATTCAATGTAACGATATTACTTCTTTTTTCCTTCGGGTAATCTCAGCATTGAGTATCCTCATAGATATTGTCACGGTAAGGGAATGAAAGCATGCGACCCCGGTAGGGGTGATTGACCCCTGACCTCTATTCACAGCCTCCGCCACTAGGTGTCGCTAGTGAGTCCCGGTGCTTGATAATACGGCATGTATAGTGCATTACATTATAAGTGCTTATCCCGAAGTAAAGATTACATAGAGTTATTTTTAGAACAATATGTTGTGAAGAGGTAAAAATATTACACAGACATCTGATGCTCGTTCGGGGATTCGACCGAAAGGGATCCCTCAACGTAACACGCGCGTCTCGTTTAGTCCTCTGTTCGGCCATGGAGGAGTTGTTGATGTGCACACGCTAGGTGGAGGATCGACAGTGACATCTATACAGCGACCCTGTCAATGAATGGAATTGGAGCAGAGTGTCGCCTCTAGTTATACTCCATGCTGAGACCCTACCGATCCGAAAACAAGCTTGACCTAAGCCCTGTAGCGTACAGTTGAAATAATCCCCCCTTCGACAGTCCGGCTTGTCCTCAGCCCGGGAATACCGGCGTGGAAAAACGGGCGTTGGCGTGGACTAGTGACAGCTGGTGTCCTCCCTGTGACTCAACCGTCTATCCTCCTCCCCTATACCGCAGTGGACGTGGAAACGGTGCAGACCTCCACGTCGGTCGAGTGGGACCCGCAAAGGACCCAATCCGTGAAGACACCGGCCCCGGGACACCAGGACTCCGCTATCTCATCCT